CGTGACGGCGTTTGCAGCTTCTGGATTGCAGGCATGAGGAAAAAGCCGAGAGCCTTTTGGAGGGAAAGGGTACAACATGGGCATAGACGCGCGAAAGGCATGCTGCCATCCTGAGCACTAAGTAAGCCCCGGGCCCAAGCTGGCCTTCTCTGGTCCTGCAGCCCGGGTCGCATCTTCAGTACGTCACTGACGGGTTAATTCACCTCGGAGGCATAATATGCCAAATTATGTCACGCATGACTGAAGACGAAGTGGAGCCCGCAGACTGACAACTGTTGCACTTCCGCAGGAGAGATTACGCGAAATCAACGCCTTCGCCAAAATAGTGCCCGCCGTCAGACACCTATGAGATGCCAGCAATCAGTCAATCTGATTCTCTGATCCACGTCTGTAGGGCAAGCGATGCCTTGCATGATCCGCGCAGGTTAGGGGCAGAGTTAAGCTGTCCGAGCTGACCAACTTGCGAGCTCATGCCTTCGCCTTACATGCAGGCATTTGCAATTCAACTGTAGCCCTCATGCTTTCCAGGATATGTCAAACTTCATTAATGCCGATATCGAGAAAGAGGCCTTGAGAAGAGGAAGCCTTGGCCAGTTCTTGGTCGTCTTTGAATGCTGTGCCGTGATGTCGGAGGCAGAGGAACTGGAGGCCAAGGAAAACGGAGGCAAGACACACAGTCACTCTCCGGCGTCAAAGAATCTGATAAACTGTGACAGGCCATGGCGATGGACACGATGCACACGGGCATTCTGGACACGATGGACACGGTGGTCATGAGTCACACGGAGGAGGCCACGGCCATGATGCCGACTGCACCGAGGAGCCACGCGCATGAGGATGGGTTCAACAGAGCTTACAGGACTGAACTGCTGTGACAATGCGCCTCCGTCAGGAGCACGGCCACGGCGACGGCCACGGCCATAATGGGCATTCCGGCGGCCACGGGCATTCCGACGGCCACGGCAGCGACGGGCACGGCAACGGGCACTCGGATGAGCACGGGCATAACGCCAAGAAGCGCAAGATACCTGGCAGTGTTGGTTGTGCGTGTGTGTGTGTGTGTGGGTGGGATTTTGTCTTGGCCTTACAGAACTCTCGTGTGATTCGAGCCCTTGCTTGTTGGGGGTACCTTTGGCCTCACTTGCTTCATGCTGTTGGTTTTGGAAGGTTGGGGGAGAGGGCGATCTTTCGGTCAAGTTGCAAGGTCACTGGAGATGTAATTGACGGCACCCGTTGCTTCACTGCTACAGAACAAGATGTGACGCAACAGGGGAGCCAAAGCAACCTGATGAAAAGTGCTGAGGCCCAAGACCTAGACATACACTTTAGTTATTGTTCGCTTGCAGGTTCCGGGGCCCCACTTATACCTGCTTTTGTCCGACAGCCTTCATGGGGGAATGTACTGCCTGTTCCTGAAGAGGACACCCCAAATACTGGGGAAACCTCCACTTGTGATCAACCCAGCAAAACTGCTATCCTTTACTTGCTTGTGACAATGTCTTCTTTCAATCAAGGGGGATCACATGTTACTTGTCTGACGTCGCATGAGCGGCAACAGACTCGCGCCCCGGCTCACGCTGCGTTGGGGGGGGGGGGCTCAAGGGTCTCCTTCCTCGAAGCCAGTAGCAAGCAAGCAAGAGAGACCGCTGCACGGTGGCGTACACACCCCCTACAGCTTTCACATCGCGAACCTCGTGCAGCCGACGAAGACACCAGGAACAGCCAGATGTAGGATGTGCTTCGGATCATGTGAGCTTATGTTGCCAGGCCTCCGAAACATGTCAGGGCTTGTTGGAATTGTTTGATCACTGTGGCAACAGAAAGGAGCCGAGACATCAACAACTTCTACCATATATTTCCGACCTGCCTACCGGGGGGACCCAACGTGGGTTTACACATGCTAGCCCTTAGGCGGTGGTTCCCGGTCCCTCAACCAAGCCTCAGCCTGATAGGCATTCCAATAGCAAGCACAGTTGCTAGAGGAAAAGGGGCGAACAAAAACAAAAATTACAGCTGTATCCTTGTTTGACAATTGGGGGACCCCTGGAAACAAAAGGCAGTGCAACAAAGACAGTGGGAAGGGCAGACGTGTCATGTGGACTTATGGTACCAGGCCCTTGTGAAAGGAGCCGGTGGGCCCACGCATGTTTGTTTTTCAGAACAGCTCACACTTCATGTCGGGGGAAGTTTACCATTACTTGTTGAGGTTGTGGAAGGGGACCTCCGATGTGAAAAGTGTGTACCGACATCCTGTGGTGTCTCAAAGAATGCACTGTATCTGCATCAGGGGAACAACGGTAGGGACTGGGTATTTTAACTTGGTTTGAAACCGTGGAAAACCTGATGCCAGAACTTTTTCACGCCTGCTCAAAGCCCCATAACAAATGGGGGGCCTTGAAGGCCGGGGGGCCTAAACAGCTCCCTATGCCCTGGCGAAGAAGAGAGAGAGGTGCGGGTGCTCGCGCGCGGAGCATGGGGTTGGACCGCCGCCCTGGAGAGCGAGAGAGAGAGAGAGACATGCATCGGTTTACGTTTCGCACCAGTTTTCGAAGGCGCTGGGTGAATGCTCAGGACCAAAGACAACAGGCACGACAGCCGAGTCAACTCGTTCGCCGTCGTACGGGAAGGAGAAGTTCTGCCTGAAAAGCTGGGGAAATTAATGGAGACTCTCGGGCAGCTGCCGAAGGAACAAGGTTGGGCTAGGGGCGTTAGGTCCGTTTGGTGCCCGCTTGAAAGTGAGATTCGAAGCTTCATACCCCCTGGCCCCAGAGATGGAGGTGTGATCTTCCGGATAAAAGGCATCCTCGCGGTCAAGAACCACCCATACAAGCATGTCTTTCATGCGGTGATGGACGTCAGCGACGAGGATGATGCAGAGCCATGGGCTCCTGGAGAGAAGCGAATAACCAAAATGGTGTTCATCGGCATCTTGGCTCCATTTGGAGGCACCGTCACAAGACAAAGTCACGGCCAGTGAAAGCCTGAGGAAAGGATTTGGATAAGGCGTTCATCCGGCAAACTTTCGAGGCGTGCTTCGAGCTCCTGTGCAGCATGTAGAGATGCATCCAATCTTTTGTATCGTTCTGTACATGCACAATGTGATGTCTTGTGGGAGCATGTAAGGAAGTGAAGCGTCTCGTCATCTCGTCACCCGCATGTTGCAGATACGCTGAAATCCTGGTACAGAGCCGGGTGCCTCCCGGGCGTTGAATCTGAACTCTGTGGGCGGACGGAGGGGTGTGCTTTAATGGACCTTTCGCCCCTGCCCTGTGAAGACAGGCTGCAATATGGAAAGTTGACGGTAGTTGAGTTATACAGGCAGTCCAGAGTCCAGCAGCGCAGCGTCATCAATGGGCATAGGCGACCCAGCGCATGCTACTTGTACCGAATCAAGGTGCCAAGGAGCTTCTTGGCTTTTGTCCAGTTTTACCGCCAGCAGACCGAACGCGGAGCACTTTCCGGTGCCCAGCGCCAGGTATGGCCCACTGGTTGGCAGAGACTCATACCGCCATGCCCATGAGGAGAACAAAGCTCAGTCCATGCCGCAATGCGGCCTAGATTCGGCATGCTACCTTTGACAGACGAAGCCTAAAGTTTTGCATTCTGGTTCGAGATCACTGCAGGCAGAGCCGGAGAGATGTAGCCTTTCCAGCCAAACCCAAACGACTGAGCTCCCGCCAACATGCAGCTGCGGGCATCCCACGCTGAGCCGAAGCTCTGAACGGCTGCTTTCAAGGTGACTTCAATGCGTTCTCGACGTGGCGACTTCCTAAGCCCTCTGCTGGCTGAGACGAGCGACGAGTTGCTGAATGTGCGAGTTCGGTTGGAAGCTGCGTGCCACGACGTGAATATGATATGCAGTGGGGGAAGCACTGCCGGAGCTGTAGCTCGAGATGGATCAAGGAGGAGCAGAGATGTAAGCGGAGGTTGAGTCCCAGTGATCCGCGACAGAATCGCTGACATGCCTGGGACATCTAGCAGTGCTTCTATCAGATGCACGATGAGCGACGGCTCCTAAATTCATGGCAGAGTTGATTAGTTCCTGTAGCGTGTGCCGTGCTGTGGTGTGCCCCGACCTTGGTAGGCAATGGCTTCCGATGTTTTATTAAACATGTCAAGACGTGGTCTGAAGGAGTAGTGATGCCCACGCTTTCGGTGCACTGATGACCTGGCCCGTCAAGTTTGGAGGGGTCAGCCACGTCGGGGTGCAAGTCAGCAGCACCTGCCGGTCTGGAATGTTTGCAGCGATCTGGAAAGATCCCATGCGCAGCTGCTGTCAGACGCAGCTGCAGTCAGAAGGCGTTTTCGGGAAACGCTTTGTCCCAGTTGACAATGCAGTAATCCGCGAGGTCCTGTAGGACTACCTCGGGAAGTTTCTTGACATCTTCGATGTCAACCACGGGATCCGTGAAAGAGATTGGATGTGTCGAACCTCCCGGGTCAGCCAGTTCACCCACTTCGGCTCGTTCCGACAGCCTACTTCAGCAGACATGTGATGTGCCAGCAGATTTGGGACCAGTTTTGGCAGTCGCAGGCCACAAGTGGCATGCGGCATGCGTTTAAACAATTTGCGTTTGAGTTGTGGTTTGAAGCGTGTAAACACTTCCGCCGCCCAAATCCTGTCGAGGACCCCGCCAACAAGTCGTCAAACTCCAAGAGACGAGCGGCGCAGAGCAAGGAGTCCGCCAACTCGCAAAGCTCGGATGAGCCAGGTGCGAGGCGAAGAGACATGCTGAAGCACATCAGCGAGGAAGCTGTTGCCCAGGCATGATCCGGCTACTGTTGGATGCCGCGGGCTCTAGCGGCTTAGCGCGAGCTCACCTGTGATAGCGATGCGGGGCCTTGTGCATAGCTTTGGCGCTCATTCTTGGACGATTAGACGGTCTACGCTCGTCGTCCATCAATGAGCGCTCAAGCTATAGCAGCTAAGCATAGCTAAGCGCAAGGTGTGAGATGTCATCCTTTGCATGTGTATGTCGCCCAGTCTGCACAGATGGAGCTGACCGTGAGACAGCACTGCTGCCAGTTGCCATGGATTCGGATTACTTCGAGGCCGAGCAGTTGATGCTGCAGCACTAGTAAGACAGTGAGCGGATCTTCGACATCATGAAAGACCGAGAGGTTCCTGCTGGTATTCCGAATCACACCTTGATGAGCACCAATGGTCTCCAGCAGCTGCGGGAAGACTTTCCGCAGGTACATTGCGAGAAGGTCCTTGAGGCGGATACGCCACAGTAGCATTCCTTGTCGAAAGATCTGGCAGGTGGTCTTGACTGGGATGCCTGGTTTCACGTGAACGACCTGTGCATGGTGGAGGTCGAAGAGGGATCCAGCTCTCGTGAGGTGATCGGTTCCACCCCTCGAAGCTTGCTGATCCATCTCGGCCTTGAAAAAGAAGCGGGCAGCTCTGAAGGAAGCGAGATGGACAAAAAGTCGGGGAGCATCCAAGAGGATGCCCAACAATCCGACATGGACAAAAGCAAACCTACTGAGCATGATGGGGCCATCTACTGCAAGCATTGCCAGATGTGGTTGAATGGCCCAGCACAGTGGGCAGATCACGAGATTGGAAAAAAGCATCGAAAAGC